AGGAGGTTGTTTCTCTCAGATTCCTCCCATTTCTGCTTGCTGATTGTTGTCTGTTGCTGTTGCTGCTGCTGTTGGCCAGGAATCTTCATCATCCCTGTCTTCTCTATGTTAACCTAAAGGCCTATCTTCTCTGGATGCTTCTCCTGCCAACTTGTTGCTTTTCACTTGCATATCCAGTTTGTGGGAAACCAGACAGATATGATCGGCGAAGTTCATATCCTCCAAGTCCTTTTCTGTGTGGGTCCATTTTATCCCTGTTTCCTCGCTACCCGCCACTCTGTCGCATTATCCAGTCTACTGCCCTCAATTTAGAAAATCATTGGAGATAGTAGGCAGCCAGCCAGCCTTGTCTTACTCATGTCTTCGAAGGGTTCCGTGAGTTTCCTGTTGTGTATTATTTGCATGAAACATCATCGTACAACTGTTAGATGAGACGTATAATCGTTGATGGCACCCTGTATTAGGTGAGTAGTTGCCAAATCATCTCTCGGTCGACACTGTCAATAAAGTCGAGATAGAGATGTTACTGCCATTCCAAACCGTTAAATGATGATCCACAGTGTTGCGATTTGATCAATACATGACTTGTTCTTCCTGAATCCAGCTTGTTCAAAGTGTTTCATCCAGGGTTGCGTGTTTGATTCTTTTCAGGTTGATGCGGCTTAGTATTTTGCTTGGGACAGACAGGAGCATAATTCTGCGCCAGTTCTTGCATTGACTTAAGTCTCCTTTCTTTTCTGGTAGTTTAAATAACTATCCTTTCTTTAACCCTCAGGTACCTTGCCCTCTTTCCATGCCTTCTCTAGTGATGGTGTCATCAAGTCCGCTGATGTCTCTGGGTCCGTTTTCAATGTTTCTACTGGGATCCCATCTGGTCCTGCTGGTTTTCCAGTTTTTCGCATCTTTATTGACTTCAGGATATCCGTTTACGTATGAGGGGTGATATCCATTGGTAGTTCTGTTTCCGTTGTTGGTATTGTTGGGCGCGTTGTAAGTGGCGGTCGATTGAGAAGTCTTTTGAAGTGTTTAACGCAGTGTTTGCTTTGCTCCACCTCTTTGGTGATTGACTTTCCATTGTCATCCCTCACTGGCCTAATTTGTGTTGGACTTTTCCCCGATAGGAACCTAGTTGTTTGGTAGAGTGTGGCGAGGTCTCCTTTGCCTGCCACTTGTTCTGCTTCACTTGCTATAGCTTCATAATATTGTCTTGTTTTCCGTGGCACTCTTCTTTACTCTTTTGTTCAGTATTTTGTAGCTTGCATTCAACTCCTGTTTTTGTCGCTCGTTGATGCACTGAACAGTCTTCATCATCCTTCTCTCTTCTATTAGTCTCCAAGTGTCCGTAGTGAGCCACTATCTGTTGTCTTTTATTTCTGCCTAGAGCTTCCATGGAGAATTGACTGCACACCGTTTTTAGGTTGTTCCAATGGTTTCCAACGCTGGTCTCTTCGTTAGTGTTGATTTGTGTCTCCGCCTTTTTCCAATATGATTGCAGTGATGTCCTTTGTGGCTTGATTCTTCAGTTTCGAGTACTGAATTTGCCTTTTGGTCTGCCTGCAGCTCCTGTTTCTTTGAAATCTTTTAATTAGATTTGGATTGTCCCTTGTACGAGGTAGTGGTGTGAGCCGACGTTTACTCCTCTTTCATACTTCTGTGTCCAGTAAGCTGCGTCTCCACTTCCTTGAGATTGAGATGAAGTCAATTTGGATTTTGGTTCGCCCGTCTGGTGACACCCATGTAGCCTTGTGAATATCCTTGTGCTTGTATACGCTGCCACCGATCACTAGTTTATTGAAGGCGCAGAAGTCAGCGGAGAGTTCTCTGTCCTCCTTCATTTCTCCGAGAGCTTCTCTAACCAAGACGAGTTCTCTTCCTGTGTTGTCTGATCCCAGTTTGGCTTTCATGTCTCATTAGAATTGTCCATTATTGCCTGTAGTTTTGTGTAGAACTCTGTTCTCTTTTCAAGGTCTGCGTTGTTTGTGGGTACATTATGTTGTATTACTGTCACTTTCCTTCCTTTTGAGTTGAATCTGGTGGTCATTATTCTGGGTGAGATCGCCTCCCATTGCATCAGGGCTTTCGTCATCGTTGGTGACATCATGATAGCCAAACACCCGGTGTGCTCGTGGTTGTCTTCTGGGTGACCGGAGTAGATCATTGACTCTCCCATTGACAGTTTGGTGAGTCCACTCCTATTCCATCTGCTTTCGCATATTCCCAGTACTTGAATTCCATATTTTTTCATCTCGTTTGCAATCTGAGCAGCTTCGCCAGCCTCATACATGGTACGGACGTTCCATGTTCCCACACATACTTTTTCTTTTGTCACAAGGAGACTCATCGTTCTGAAGTTTCTGTAACAGCTTTGTTTACAGGGTGGGATCGCTAGCTTCACGCCTGATTACGCCCGCAAGAGACTCAACAAATCATTCTGTAAAAGGTTCATTTGATCTGACCAATATGCTAGACCCCTTGAACTTTAAGCAAAAGGTTATGCGCTCAATCGACATAGAGTCTGTATTCACCAATGTTCCACTTCATGAAACTGTTGGTTTCACTTGCGATTAAATCACAAGCAATGTGATACACTCAATTATTCCTGTCACTTAAATTTGAGACATTCTCTCAGTATGTACAGAAAATATCAGATTCACCTTCCAAGAAAAGGCATACAAACAAATCGAAAGTGTTGCAATAAGGAGCCCTCTTGAGCCCCCTGTTAGCGGATATATTTAAATCGAAATTGGAGTGACAAGTGTAAGGTGTGCTAAGAAAATTTATGCTGTTAACGTTATGTAGATGATACACTCATTAATGGTAATAATAGTCTGTTGAAAACTTTGTTACTCTATTTAATCATATTCATCCAAGTATTCGAGTGACTTCCGAACTCGAATCGAATAACAAATTCAGTTTCCTGGATATTACAATGACCAGGAGAGATGAGGGAACGATTCAGCGATCTATTTTTCGTAAACTGACATGGAGTGGGCGATATCTTCATTTCACCAGTTTCGATCCTAACCAGCATAAACGTTCCCTAATGAAATGTTTGTTCTCAAGGGAATGCAAAATATGCACGAGCGACACATTGATGGATGGGCTTCGACATACACATTCAGTTTTATTAGCTAATGGGTATCCAGAGAACTTTATCACTTGTCACAGTAAGGATAGACCACATCTAGAAAAGACGGATTCTGTACCAAAGAGAGCTACATTCTACGCTTCACCTCTTTGCCTCGCAATCCGAACATATTCGATCACTGTACCTACGATTAAAGGATGAAATTCTGTGGACTCTACTTCAAACTGCATCTACAAGCTCACTTGAAGTTGCGGTGACACACACATGCATATTGGTAGAACCAATAGAATTTTCCAATGTCTTCGAAAAGGACATGTTCCAAAATGGTTATTAAAACATAAAGAAAATCCCAATGCGATTAATCTGAATAGAAATCCATCATCATCCATTGCAAAGTACTTATTAATGTCAGGTCACAAAATCAATACTAATGACTGTTTCACAATTATTTCATCACATAACTCTAATTCAAGGTTGGTTATTGAAGGTGACGGAAGCACTTTTGAGGATTAATCACATACAGCCTAAACTGTGCGTACAAAAAACAACAACAGACTTCAATCTTCGCCTGCCATGAACTGACTACTTGACCTATTTAAATATGATTGGTCATTAGTATGTACTTTTGTTTTTTATTTAACTGAGTAATTGTCATGATCTTTATTTTATTATTGTGAACCATGTTAGTTGTAAAATCGTTATAGAGAAACTGAGAAATATCACCATGCGAAATTTGTCTTCTAAATGCGTTATTCAAATTTATTAAAGGGACTAATTGTTTTAATTCTGAAAATTTGTAATCTTGGCTGTCATGTAATAAATCTACGTGATGAATAATTTTGACGTTAAGTGTGAAGTACTAAACAAGTAGAGATATTCAGCTTGAAGTAACTAGAGTTCACAAAAACAGTACGCTTGCTAAACAGAAACAGTAGCTAAAAATAAGTTGTTTTGAAGAATATCAAGCGTGGTTTCACCAAAACATATCAAACATTCTTTAAGACATGTGACAACAGTTCGAGTGGTGCTTAGAATTACATAACAGTACTTTGATTAGACACTAGTTAGTAACCAGTGTAATGTGTTTAGTCCTTTGTATGCTGCAGACTGAATACTATTAGTCGGGTTTGCAGTGTGGCCACCATTCTAGGTGGCTCACCATTACGGTGCACTTTGATGGTTAGAGCCAGTCAGAAGGAGGCCCTGCTTGATCTTGGTTCCGTGCTAGCTGGCACTCATCAGCAGGGCGTATCTGCAACCTTGAGGGAACTCATCTTCCTTGTCTGGTTTAAACCCGTGTCACATGAGGGACATGGGTTCCTTCAAGGTTGCAGATACGCCCTGATAGAGTGCCAACTAGCACGAAATCCAGGTCCAAGGCTTCCTGCCGACTTCCTTCAACCATTTAATAATACATAACTGCGTGCTCTATGGTGTTAGTAATCAGTAGTTGGGCATTTTTGGAGACTACTGAAAGCTGCTTAAAGCAGAAAAAATGCACTCATTCACGTGCCGATACGCCAATAATTTCACTTATTTTGATTTAGTTATTCGTTTTCCATTTCTTTTTCCGGTGCTTTTTTGAAGTTTGAGCCTGAGGTGCTATTCCGTTTAGGGTTTTCCAACTGTCTATCCATCCGTTTTCTATGTATAGGATGTTATTTGGTTGTCAGTTTATTGGGAATTGGCAATAATTACTTAGTGTAAGTTGTGGTCAATTGATTCCAAACAATTGTGTGCATAATGGAGACCAGCTAAAGATTTAAAATTAAGGGATCGATGAAGCGTAAAACAAAAATCCGGGAAGAAAAAGACTTAACTTTTCTTTCTTATGCTGAAATATTCCATTATAGAGAAACGCTTTGTAACTGACTAGCAAAGTAGATTTATTTGGCGGTTATCGCAAAGATTCATGACAGAATCACAAGGTGTCCGTCGAAAGCGCGCTTTATCATTCGCTGGATACACAGATGTAAGTCTTAGTTTTTTTTGTGGAATTGTTCATCTCTATACTTACGTATATTTAAAAGATTATATGCCTACAATAATTGCATAGCAAGCGTATCGTTCTCACCATCGTAAACAGGTACTAACTTTCAGTCAAAATAAGATACTTAAAAGGTAGGGAGCTTTATTAGCTTTCAGCTTTAATCCCATGTGTCACAGTATCGTTTGTGAACCCTCACCAACAGCCAATATCTTATAGTATTGGTAAGACTTGTTTATTGTAACACCCATCAAGCAATGCTAACCGAACAGACTGTTATTATTACGAGTCATATCGTGCTAAGGAGTGTCTCTAGTCAAAACTCCATCCCTTGTCACTGATGTACGCTGCATTTATGAAACACGCTTACAGAGTCCAGTTATGGTCAATCACTTGGCCTTATATATGGTTAGAGTAATAGTATCACACAATGCGTCGGGGGCACAGCGGTTAGGACTCTCGCTGACCATGCTCATGGTCCGGGGTTCGAGCCTCTACCGACACACACCTGATATCTATGGTTGACCTGCATAATTTGGGCTACCGATATCACATGCTGAAAATTCCATGCCTATACCAAAAAATACGGCGTAGAATCAAGCTGTAATAAAATTGTAGATGAGATGGTGTGATGTCGTCTGAACAGTATTTTATATATTATCCAGGTCACATCAATCATCTGCAATACCAATAGACAGTTGCATGTCATTTGACTGGTTTTCATTAGGATGTGTAGCTGAACCCCTGTAAGGAAAACACAGTTTTTAATAATAGGCTTATAATGATTCGGTTAATTTCTAGATAAAAATCCCTACAACGACATAATGCTTGTACTGAACTTCTCAGTCAATTGGTTCTCGTTATTCACTTAGCACTGCATAGCCTCATTAGTGTTGACCATACTGCACCGACTATTGCAAGACATTAAATGCGCATGCCTGTGGGTGGAATTCACTATTCTTTTCATATCTTTCACATCCATCTATCGTCTTTGACAGCCCTAAAGTAGGAAGCGGCGAACTTGCCCCATAGTACGTGTCCTATGATGGGTCGAGAGATATCATGCTGGCGCCAATTATCGTGAATGGTAATTTAAGCCGTGTACGTTTTGTATTTGCATTAAAATTTGAGAGTAATTAGTTCAGATAAGTGAATTGGTCAACATATATTCAATCACTCCACCCCCTATTTCTAAACTAGGAGCCGGGGTCGGTCCTCAATCATTATCTTATTTTAAATACAATATATATATATATATATATATATATATGTTGGATTGAAAATGTTTGTCATGCCATTATTAGCTTACTGTTTTTGAGTCTCACTAAGTATGTGGACATTCATTGCTGCTCAGGTGGATAATAGTGTCTCGATTTTAACTGTTGATTGCCACCGTGAGTAGCTTTCGATATTGAATTGTTCACATTTGGAGGTTTTTAATGATGCCTTAATAGACTTGTTGACTTCATCTTAGCTATTTCGAAATATGCGCATAAGTTCTGAGAGTGAATTTGTATTTGCATTTGGGATTCATGCGATACATTATTAACAGGACTCTTACAAGGTTGATAGTCTATATGAATCTGCATTCTGCGTTGTGCAGTAAATTTTTGCTCTTATTCGATGATTGGAAGCAGTCGGCAGGAAATCTTAGACTTTAGTTTCGAGCTCGTTGGCACTCGTCACTAGGGCATCGTATCGTATCTGCGGTCTAGAAAGAGCCCATATCCTTCCTGAGATTCGAACCCGTATCACCCAGTGCTGCAGTCAGAGACGTTGCCACTGAGCTATTCAGGCTGGCGATTGACCTCCTGTAGGACTGACTGTATTGGATACTTTGATCGGATACAAGTTTTTTGTTTGGTGCAGACTGAATACTATCAGTCAATTATGCAATGTGTCCAGCATGCTAGTAGGCTGAGTGACATATGTGCGAATCTCAGAAGGGGCATGGGTTCTTCCAAGACTGCTGACGAGTGCCAACTAGCGCGAAACCCTTGTCCAAGGCTTCCTGCAGATTACTTCCAACCATCTAATAACAGGTTAAGTTTCTGTAGCAGTTTGGTTAAGTTTTAGGGTTGGAGTTGCCAGCACCACACCCCAACCCTCCCTCTTTGTCCGGGCTTGGGACCGGCTAGAAAACTAGCAAGCTAGTAATCTAAGCGAGGTTCAAAGGAGTGCGTCGTCCAGGGATCGAACCCTGGGCCATCTGCATGGTCGGTGAGCGCCCTAACCGCTGTGCCACAAAGAAGATTTCCAACAGCCTGTTGCAGGCTTTCATCAACAACTGTCTTCGCTCTATACTGAAGATCAGATGGCCGGGCCGGAAAGAATCACCAACAGGAAACTCTGGCGATGAACAAACAAAACAAGAACAAATCGCCAACCAACAAATATGCAGGAGATAGTGTGGAGATGGGTTGGACACTCGCTGAGGAGGCCGCCACTGGGTGACATCGCGAGCGCGTCAGACCACAGCTCGAGTGGAATCCGACAGAATGGAAAGCGGCGAGTGGGACGTCAGTGCAAGGGTGACACGGAGGAGATCATGTGAAGAGAAGTTGAAACAGTATGAACTAACATGGATGCAGGTGAAAAGTACAGCAGAAGACAGAAGCAAGTGGAGATGTGCAGTTGAAGCCCTATTTTCACTAGGAACCCAAGGGAACAATAATATACAATAATAATCTGATAGCAGGAATGTCAAGCCGCTAGCATGGTGGCATATTGCAAACTTGACTGATAGTATTCATTGATACAAGTATAAGTACTTGCTTTGGCGTTACATATACTAAAATTGGAACGATACAGAAAAGAATAGTATTCAGTCTGCAACAAACATAGGACTAGATGCATTACCCTGGTTACTAACTAGGTGTCCAACCAAAGTAATTTTCGCTTTTCTAGCTTACAATAAGCCATCTGTAATGATGTTTAATCTTTTGTTATTTTGTTTTTATTAATCAGCTCCCGAAACTTTCCAGTGGTGTTCCGATTACTCAGTTACCTACCATCGGTAGAAGTCGCCGCCCATCATGCATATGTTCTGGGGACTATTCAGCCGCTAGTGAAGTTTTCAAGGACATCTCTAACAAGTTGAACAGTGCCAATAGTAATGCCGAATTTTCATGTTTAAGCGAATTTCGGGTTTCGGAAAGTCCTGATTTATGTTCAAGGAAAACGTCAGTCGCAACAGTAGTTAGAGGTGATTCACCATGTAGCTATACTTCAACTCCTCAAATGTCACCGAGGCAAAATAATTCTTATTCCGACCTGCTGACACTACTAAGACCACCTGAATTGTCCGATCATATCTTGCCTGATGGTCCATTATCCTCAAATCTTGTTAAACTCTATCTTGCAAAGGTCAGTCTAATCACTATTTTTTGAAGGTTGTAGCTCATTGACTTCAGTATTTAACTTTCAGTCATGAGGTTGTGTTAATAGATGGCAATCCACCCACTTCGATCTGGTCATGCAGGTATTATCATAAGCTCCCACTTGAATTTTTTTCCACACCTCAGTACAGAATAAAAGTTACATGAACATTTTACCATAATTTTGGTTATTACTATCATTATTGCTATTATTGATACAATGCAGTACACTTGCTACAAGTAGTGATGCACAATCTGGATGAATCCATCACTCAGTTTGTTTCGTAAATTTCGAACAAACAAGATAAAGGTTCAAACTGTTTAACTTAACGAGAGTTTGGATAAGAGGATCACAGTTTTACGTGTCATATTCCGTACGTTCCACGCCTCTTAGTAAAAACCAACACCTTCAACGCTGTGTTCACTAAACAATTCTTCGTCGACGGATTTATTCAGAATGATAGCCAATATGGAGAACCTTAATTTGCAGTGTGCATGCTAGAATATTTACTATGTTCTTTCTGAATTTCGTCTGTTTTATTTTTATTCATGTGCTTGTGGTTTTTAGATAACAGTATCAATATAAGTAGTGCTATTATAATTTTAAGTTTTCGTTCCAGTTAACCAAATGTCAAATAATACCTATAAATGACTTAGTATGGTCGGAGGTAGGTGGACTTCTGTATTCCTCTCTAAATGCTCTCGTGTGGCCAAGCGTTCTTAGTCTCTGCCAGGTTAACGCTTTTCTCTGTCTTCATGTAGCCGGGGATTCTCACAGAAGTGAAAAGGCGAATGCAAACACTGGTGTTTACATATAGGTATCCCTAGAGGAGCTGGAAAACACTTGTTCCAAACCTATGGTGTGCATGGGTTCCGGAATCCCAAGGGGGTTGAATGGCTTATGAACCTGGGAACCGTGGGAACGTTAACTTCTGACGCTGTCCGAGAACAACCACTACCTGCTTGTATCTGGGCGTCCGGGTAGTAAGCCAGCCGTCGCACAAACCGAGGTTTCGTATGGTTCATCTCTTAGTGGTTATAATGTACCAAGTTTGTTTTAATGCTAATAAGGCAGTATTCCCAATGGTCTTGGTGTTGAGGCTCTGTTTACTGTTTTACAAAAAAGACCACGTTAGTTTTTTGACAGTATACTACTGTATTTCCTCTGCATAAATGTTGTTAACAGTCTTATTCGGTACAGAAACTGATTATTTCGGTTCAATGGAAATCGAAAATTTATAAATTCCAGCAGATGAAATTTTCACTGTCATTACATTTTAATCTTCATCAAGTGGCAGTCTGAATGTGATAGTATTTCAGTGTTTACAATGTGAGTGTATATTAAATGAAGGAAGGTTTCAACAAACTGATAGAAATGTGTTAGGCAATTTGAGTTGTTATAGGTTTCCAGACCGTAGGTGTTACGAACTTCCTGGAATAATTTGAGCTCCGAGTCAGATTGATTCATTATAGATTATTTAAATTAATCCCAGCGTGTTAGGAAAATCAAAACAAGATTTTTCTGAACGTTTCGCCGTGTAAGCCACAGCTTCTTCAGCAGATTTATTCGGATTATACGGATTAACACGCTGGGATTAATTTAAATAGTTTATAATTTGAGTTGTTTGTTAGCTGTCTACCTGGTAAATGGTTAATGGGTGAAAATTATTACATTTTTTTGCATGCAAGTAGTTTTCTACCGATTTTAGCACTTTCATGATCATAAAATGCTGTCATGTGTCATTTGCGGAGACAAGGAAACCGCACAGCTTTATGGCTTTTATTCGCAACACAGTCAGTTGATTTATATATGTGATGTCTATATTGTTTTCTGTTAGGCTTTTTTTCTAATTTTTCAATAGTTCGTTTGTAAGGATTAGATTTGTTTTTTTTACGAGTTGATCACGGATTGATATCAGTTAGAGAACCATTGAAAACCTGCAAGGAGTACTGGACACCTGGTTCATCCTGATTTGGGAATCATCGGGAGTACGCACCCAACCCAAGGGGTTCGAACCCAGGACCTTCCGGTCACAAGGGAAGCTGGCTCGTGTACCATTGAGCCACTGGAACTCGATTCAATGACCGGTACATGAATTCTAACTTCTACCAATTCATGATTTAGCACGACCCCAACCTATGTCATCAGGGGGACATCCATCCTCACACGACTTCTCTCTTGAACTTCAGGAAACTCTGTCCTGTAGCAAGTCACTGGCGAGCATCAGGTCAATTTCCAATAGTTGGTTTATAAGGATTAGATTTGTTTTGACGATATATTGTTACTTGGTTATATTGTTATTGTCAGCTGTTTTATCTTTCCGTATCAAATAGATGTTTACGCTGTTTAAAATCATTACTTCCCAGTGTTATTTAAAATAAATTGATTCAGTCACATGATCTGAAGCTATCACATGATAAGTGTTATTTTGGAATATATTTTGTGTCGACTGACTACTTTATTTGTTCACTTTGCAAATTATTCACATAAATTATACTTACTCATAACACAACTTCCTTATTTATTATTGAATTTGACGGTTGATCCTTAATTTGTCAGTTAGAAGATACGAAACTTTCCTTTCTTTCTCATCCTTCTTTTGTCTATTAGTCTAATCTAATTATTTTTCGTCGTATCGCCCGTGGTTCGATTCCCGGTCGACACACTCTCTAAGCCAATTATAAGATTGGTAAATTGGGAAGGTTGGGCATGAGACTAGCAACCCCATCCCGTAAAAATAAGCACCACTGCTACGGAAACTTCAAAGCCCAAGAAGCTTGAAGCCCTATATTCCATTGGGAACGGAAAGGGATAAAAGAAATCGCCCAGAAATGGGTTTTCCCCTAAACTAAAAGTTATCCTTGGCTTATGGATTGTAATTTTTTAATATTACTCTTTGATATTGTTATCGTAGCTGTTAAGTGTAAATGTAAGCTGTATTCGCATAATATGCGATTTAGAAAATCTGTATTATTGATATAAGTATTAAAACTTCGGGACTGTGGTACAGTATAACTCCATTATGGATAAGATTTTATTTTGATAAATCACACAGTGTTATACAGTAATATTAATTGATGATGCATTACCCGTCTTAATTAAATGACTCTAAGGAGCGTAAAGAAACGAATTAAAACGCTTTAGAATACTTAGTAGACTATGGATATTGGAGTATCTGTCTGTTTTCAACATAGAACTTTGCACATATGTGCAGAAGTTCAAGTCGCCACACTCCCTCCACGTAGCACACAAAGCAAGAGAAGAAAGTACAAGAAGTGCATATCAGAGACAGTAAACAGAGGAATAGTAATAACGAAGAACAATATAGTTTCATTGGAAATCATAAGTCACAGGGAGTGGATGCATCTGCGTTAGCCATTGAGAACGATTTTGAGCCATGTAACCAATTGTTTCCAACCATTGGTTTTTACCGTCTCGAGGACCCCAATCATTCAGGAAGTCTACACCTTCCTACGTGACTTGAACTAACTGTTGTGGATTTCATTGACTGATGAAGCCATGTTTTGGTTTGACCACCGCTAGCTCTTTTCCAACCTGATCCCATGTGAGTCAGCTAACACTACCCGTCGAGGAAGGCGATGACTAGGATATTGGAGTGCAAGTTTATGATTCCCTAATATAAATTTCTTAGTTGCGTTTTGATAGAAATAGTACCCGCTCAAACACCCCCACCCCCAATAATTCACCGAGATTGTATGGTGGTCTTTCCTGTTCTCAAAAGAATATATGTGAATATTGAAACAGTTGATCCCTTCGATAAATTTAAATGAGACAAATATTACGACATGATATCATTTCCTAGTAGTTTTTTTTTTCACAAATAGCACGGTTCACGATAATAAAGTGAAATGTTTGACAATCGGTTATATATATATATATATATATATATATATATATATATATAAATAAAAGTGCCTACTAATAACCAATCCTATTTTTGTAGGTCAATTAGATAGTACGTAAAGTCTTGAAGTCTTTTGTTTTCAGTACACAGTTTGGGATGCATGTGACTGATCTAAATTGGCTTCCATCACCGTTTTTTCATAATCTTGGATTGAAGGTATCTGATGTTTTTGAGAGATAGACAGTAATATTGATTTTGTGACCATTGGCTGGAGACTGTGATATGGTAGATGCATTCATTCTTCGTGATCTCCCATATACATTAAACCCTCATGTTTTTTCCATGTGACTATTCTTTCTGCTCACTATGGTTCTTCTGATTCGTTTTTTGTCACTTTCCTCTATGTTTGTGTGGCACATGGAATGTGGCAGCCTGAAATGCTTCACTTCTGTGCATATTTCTATGTTCAGAAGCAGTTTCCAGTTTTATTAATTCTTACGCTCGTATTCATCAAATGTTGTCGTGTTGTGTATTCTTCAAATAGTAGTGGTCGTTAAGTATATTGTTGTCATACAACTAATTAATCTGATGCTCACTAGCGACTGGTCCTATTCAGGCAGTTAACCTGTGGTTCTAGTGAGAGACCATAACCAGTAGGGTAGAGCAGGTTTGAAAGTGAGGCGGTAACTCATCCAAGAAGATATGGCAAAGTGGTTGCCCAGTGGCTTAATGGTCTACGAGATCACCTTGTAATCGGAAGGTCCTGGTGTAACGACAGAAGATAATGGCCAGGCAACAGATCGTTTATTGGAAAAATCAAGGGATATTTATACCTTTTTATGTACATTATTATTCGTTATTGTTAGCAGAGATGTAACGTCTTGTGATTAATTGTTATCCTACCGAAGGTTATTCTGTCATCTGTTTGTGGTCGTTTCTTAGACAGTCCGGTGATATATCTGCGAATCGTATCCTCCCACGCTAAGTGTGCTGTTATTGGTTGCTGAGTTCCTCAAGGTTAGGCTTTGTTTTTGTTTTCTCTCCTGACCCCGATTTGGGACGTAAACATTGACGTCAATTGTTGTCGACAATTTTGTCTTGCAGACAGCTTTCATCACATGGGTTCGACCCCTGACAGTGAATGCATACTGCTGAAGAGTCCTAAACTAGGGTGTCGAGGCAGCTGTCCAGTATTCCCACGTTTTCCAATGGTTCTTTAACTGATGTCAGGTCATGATGAAACCCTTCAACTAATGCGTATATGATTCAATTTGAAACTGCAGCTTAATTTCTATAACAAAGCGAGAATCTGTGACATAGAGACTGCTTCAATCTGTTTTGCTGCTAAGTTTATATCATAATAATAATAGTAATGATAATAACAGCTTTATTCCAAACAGTATTTATGGTACAGGTATGGAATTTTCAGCGTGCATTACAATATACTGCATCTAGTTACCTCATAAATTTTATAAGATTTTGAAAACAAAAAGCAACAACCAAAAAAAAACAGATAAATAAAAAGAAATAAAAAAGAACAGCGTTGCGTTTACATTTTAAACAACGCACCACAGCATATGAAATATAAAATTAGTGTGTAATAGAAGATGTGAACAACAATATTGTAGTAACGAAGAAAGGAAAACAAAAACTAATGGGACTATTTGTTAGAGTGCCGCAGTAAGTTGATCGTGTCATACCTAACGGATTTCTCATCACATGACAGCTGTGCCAGATATGGTATTGTGGAGTTTTTGTATTTGGTGGTCCTAGCATATAGCCGCCTAAAGCTGCTTCTAGTTCTACCAGATGAAATGCAAGGAGACAGCTGCGTATAGAGAGGATTCTCGGGATCTGACAATATAGTATTCGCTAGTTTCTTACATGACATTATATGTCTATCCATAATGGTGTTAACCAGTTGGTTTAACGATATCCCACTTGCCCTACTAACGGCTTTTAGTGCCTGCCCTTCTCAGCAAAGCAAAATCTTTCTTAAGTAGTCCAGGAAAGATTAATGGGGCGCAGTAAAGAGGGGGATGGGTAGAATGCAAGAATTGACAAACTGAGAAAGCAAAGACCGCTTTATACCAGAAAGTCGATAATAATTTATTATTTTAATTCATCACATGTGGCATTAGCTGGTTCATACGAAGTTTTTAAACTCTGTTTTGTGTACGCATTCCCATTTAAACGGGGAGCTGTGATGAATTTCACTGAACTGCTGAAAAGATTTCATTTATTTCGTTGTTGTGTGTGTGTGTGTTTGTGATCTGCAATATTTAATGTAGATATCGATTTGTATATCGTAAATGATTGCAATGCTTTCTTTAATTGAAATTTCAGTGCGTAATTGTTTGTTAACTTCTTCTATAAACTTCGCAGCTTTAAATAATCAGAATAATAAACGTCATCGAAATGTTTTTTTTTTTTTCTAATAATTCGAATGTTAATTATCTATGTGAGTATGTCAATATTACTAAATATAATTAGTTCATTGTTGTGTTATTTAAAGCTTGCTGCTTCCAAACCATCTGATGATATATGTCCTGTTAAATCACTTCAATCAATGTCACCGAAAGCCTCTACACAGAATGAACTTCATTGTCTACCAGAATGTATGCAACTACGTTCACCACATTTAGCGTCTATGGTTATGCCAGTGAATCAAATCATTCGTGCACACGCTAATCATCAAAATAACTTTAAACCTGAGCAAAGAAAATCATCAAAAGAAGCTTTGAATTCACTGTATGCTAATTTCAGCGATCGGAATGCACTAACAGATACGAGTTATTCGAGTGGATTGAGTGATGCAGAGCCATGGAGTCTGTCGCATACCTATCATACTATTAAAAGTGGATATCTATCAGATAATCATCTTTTGGAGGCAGCCTCAGAAGCACAACGACTCAATATAAGTAAAAGACAGTTGGAATTACGTTTGAAGAACTTACCAAGTGGTTCTAATAATAATATGTCATCGAGTGATACACAGACTAATTCAAGTCAGTTTTTTTGTGTGTGACTGTCGTATTTACCTTTGTATTTATAAAATGTGTATAGTCTGGCTGAAGATTAGGTAGTTCGTGTCTGTGCTATGATTTTAAATTCGATAAGAATAACAATATTGGACATTGTGTCACTTACCACACACACACACACACGCATACACATACACTGCTTCTATAGTCGAAAAAAACATCCACAGTATTCACGACCGTACCTATTCCAGTCAGTGTCTTTGACTTACAGGCATACTCTAAATCAAGCCAACTGTTTTCATATACAGATCAATGAGATATGAAAATAAACACCTTCATAAGCTTGCCTATCATAAAGTTGAATAAACAACAGAGGTGGAAATTCTTGGGATAAGAACAGAATTGGAGCACTGTGATAAAGTATGCCTTGATGTGAGGCACAATAATATACTAATCTGTTAGTGATGTAGCTTTGAATTATTTAAATGCCTTGATTATAACAGCGAACTGTGCTTGAAGAGTACCACTTGGAACCTGTCACTCATTTGCTACACTAAATAACCTATTCAAGTGTTGGTTTGTAGGGATTTGATTGGTTACAGGATTTAGTTAGAGAACCATCGGAAAAACAGCTGGGAGTACTGGACAGCTGGTTACAAGGCGAGCTCGTAGACCATTAAGCCACTGGGTCCCAATCCCAAGGCCCATGAATTCGCTATTCAGGTAGGTAGTTACCAGAAGATCCTAGTTTCGAACTCCGGTGGGTGCGTACTGCTGAAGAGTCCCAAACTAGGACGAAACAGCTGTCCAGTACTCCCAGCTGTTTTTCCAATGGTTCTCTAACCAATGTTAGCTTATGATGAAATCCTGTAACTAAGTAACCTAATTTTATCATGGTGGATATGCTTGACAATCACAACTTAATGTGTGCACATCATGTTATAGGCTACCGTAAGCTGTAACAGGCAATGTTGGTCATCTGAGTATAGAACGTTCAGTAAATCGATGTTTCAATGTGTTGTACTGTCACCTGCCGAACAGGATGACACCTCTATGTTTATCTTGTTATATGACCACACAGTTGTTGTACAGTGGTTTAGACATTTGTGTTTTGTGGATTTATTAATGACTAATTTACCTCTGAAACCTTTATATTTTGTGACTTTTAATAGGCTTGATTAGATCGAAGTAATTCTACTGTTACGTCCCTGTTAAGTTATTATATAAAAAAAATCTCTACTGGGTAAATGGGTTGCACTATTATTAGTGTTATCGTTGCTGCCTGTAGAAGTACAGATAAATGCTATACATTCCATGAGGTGTCATGTCTTCATTTTGCTAAGAGCAACTGCATCACCATAGTTTTATCAGTCAACAAAGAGATGTATACCTGTTGGGTGATATTAATTATGATAGTTATTTTTTTAAAGGACTTATTATACTACCCAGTGAATGCCTTGGGATTCGTGCTTACAAGCCAGTGGTTGGAACTCAATTGCATGTTGTACTTTGTTTACTTTTACTACGATTTCCGACGGGGCGTTGTTGTTGTTGTTGATTCACAACATCAAGTCAGTCTCGATCCCATTCGGTATTTAGAAACTTTATATGGATCCTTTGTTTATGATTATCTGTTCTACATAAACATTTGAGAGCGCTTTTCCAACAGCTGCCTTGGCTGCGTACTGAAGATCAGACGACCGACTGGAAACGATAAGCAACAAGGAACTCTGGCTGATAGCCTGAATACACAAGGAAGTCGAGGAGTATTAGACACAGTCTGATAAGACTGTTGACTGACATCACACACACAAACCAAACCCTCGATTGGAACGTCAAGTTGAGCGTCCGAGTGTGATATGTTGGCGGAGATTGTATAAGGAGAAAATGAAAGCTTTTGGAAAAACGTGGGGCTAGTATACAATTGGTGGATAGTGGCTAGCAGTGGGATCCAGGATGCGCATTTCGTCCTATTTGGGACTCGACAGCTGGATGTACCTGCATTTCCCAATCACTCACTGAGAAATGCAGGTACATCCAGCTGTCGAGTCCCAAATAGGACGATATGCGCATCCTGGATCCCACTGCTAGCCACCATCCACCAATTATATACTAATTAAATGCCCAGACATCGTCGAAGCATCTGTACAAGAAGCCGAAATGTCAACCTGAGACCGAGCACTTCGGTCCAATCAGCCGACGGGAAAATCCAAAATCCAATTCAAACGTGGGGCTAGTTTGAAATGGTGACGAGCTGTAGGAAACCTATTTTTCACTTGGAATTCATGAGAATAAAATTAGTGAAACTACTTAAACATTTGCATAAAGAGTTTACAAATTGTTAGTAGATTGCTTAAGTCATTGTATCCCTGTAGCCTTATGAAAGAGATTTTTATTCTTATTTTTAGAGTTTCATTCATAAGTTTTTAATAATAAATACTTCCTCTGCTCAACTACAATGTGAAGTAAGTGCTACTAAATGGATCAGAGACTTGGTGTCGCGTCATGAAGAGCACTTCAAACAAACCACAGACCTTCACTCAATACTCAAAATCAGGGATCTCTGGCAATGAGCGAACCGACCTAGCAGGAACCGATTGTGCAACAAATATAAAAAAAGAAATGGAGGTGGATTGGCCATACTCTGAGAAAACAAACCATCAAGTGAGTGAAATCACACGTCAGGCCATTGCTCGAGTAGAACGTGAACGGGAACCGGCGAGTTGGGCGTCAGTGTGAGGGTGGGGTGACACGGATGAGGTCATGCGAAGAGAATATGAGAGCATGTGGGCAGACGTGGAGCTAGGTGAAAAGATTGGCAGACTACCGAACGCAGTGGAGACGTGCGGCTGAAGCCCTATGCTCCTCTAGGAACTAAAGGAAATAATAATAAAACTGCTAGTCTTATGTGCATGGGGAGTGATAAATATACCAGTAAGGTTATAACTTTTGTAGTGTTGTCGTCCATATATATATAACCGACCATTCAAAATGATAATGATGTTGGAAATATAGTTTATAGTTGACAACTACTTGATTATTTAGTGTTCACGCCATATTATTATGATAACGTTTTTCATTTTTTGTTTTGTTTTGATGTTTCTTATGTTATATTTTTTCTAGGAGAAAACTTAAACGGATATCCTGTACATCCTGTACATGGTACAACATCAACACACAAATTTGAATTCACTCATGTCTATGATGGTTTAATACCACCATCTCTTAAAAATGTTAACAAATCCCATACGAATTCATTGAATACATCTCAAGTCAATTTAAATTGTACTGGCGAGGATAATTATAATGATAATATGATGCATTCCTCGGTATATTATTCAGTGCCTAATTCTCCCAGCATACATCATTCAAAGCGTTCTAATATGATGAATAATGACCATAAAATAGTCGAAACAAATACCCATAAATTTGACTTTCATGATAATAATAACAATAATGTTATTGACAGTATTGGGGGTGGTACGTTTAGTAGTAGTGGTAGTAGCAGCAGTCGAAGGAAACGATTTGAAGGCTTAAGAAATTTCTTATTAACAACATTGAAAGGCGGAGATAGTATAATAAATAAAGGCGGGGATGACAAGTACTTCTATATGGATGAGAAGGCGTTGGAAAGGCGAATAGAACATCAAGCCGAGAATGTTATATCACCTGTATCGTTTTAGTAGAGTCGATTGTATTTTTTAAATTTTTGTTTTTCTTTGTTTTTTAAGAGAGGATTTATCTTTATAAAATTATTACTATTATTATCATTATTGTTATTATTATTACGACTACTACTAAATATGCTTTCAACCTAATATATATATATATATATATATATATATATACTATTTACTATACTATGGGGGCGCTCACATTTAGAATCAAAAGATCTACTGTGTGTGTTTGTGTGTGCACAGATTTACATACTGTTTCTCATCTACTTATTTTTCGTCCTTTGGTTAACTTTTATTTTCTTATGTAACACAGAAAGGTGAAGAACAAGCCAACATGAGATGATAGTCATATATTATATATCTTACAGATAATTTACTTACTTATTTCATTGTAGCGCAGTTATTTCTTGTGTATTAACTTAATAATCTACCAGTAATTATTTAGTCAGTTTAGTCTTTCTTTCTATCATCGTGACCATATGTAGAGAGTGGTGTACTCTGTAGTAGATGATGAGTGATCATATTTTTTTCTTTTTTCTTGTATACAATAATAATCCTAAATATTGATTTTATTTTCATTATATTTTCTCTATGATACATATACATATTTTTCATTCAGGATTTTTTTTGATGCTATTTTCAAAAACAGTCTTTGTTTAGTTCATTTTTGGTGGTGGTGGTGTTGGTGTTGGTAGTAGTCTGTCACATTTGCTGAGTAGTTTCCATTGTCTGTGGTATATTTTGTCAATGGTCGGTAAACTGGAGAAGTTTCAACACAAAATTGGTCGAATGTATCTATCATTCTGAATAACCTCATTATTATTATGATTATTACTACTACTACCCTGAATGGTTACTGGGGTGGAACCCAGTGTCGTGTATGTTTAGTCCTCGGTGTTTGGTTCTGAAGGGATTCTGTCGGTCGAGTGTGTAACGTGGGGTCACCAGTGATGGCTAGATGCCAAACGATATAGTCCTTCTAGGCAAAGACGCTATCAAAATACAGAGTCTTCTGAACACCTTGAGCTGCAATCTACGAATATTTGGCATGCGATCCACTCCCGCCAAATGCAAGATGATGTTACAGGACTAGACCACACTGACTCCTAGTTTAGAAATAGGGAGTGAAGTGGTGGAGCTGGTTGACCGCTTCACTTATTTGGGCAGTTACATCAGCCCCAACGGGTTGATCTGTGACGGAAATCTCAGCACGGATACAGAGGGCTAGTTTCGCATATGCTAGTTTACGCCGTCTCTGGCTTAGTAGACGTGATATCCGGCTGGCTATCGAGCGAAGGGCGCGTTTACTGCTCATCACTCCGTTCCGTTCTCCTTTATGGCTGTGAGACCTGGCCATTGAGAGTGGAAGACATGAGAAGATTAGCTTTCTTTGATCATAGGTGCCTGAGTTTTTTCTCCCGTGTGAAGTGGTATAATAAGGTGAGCAATATTGAAGTTAGGCATCGAGTGCTAGGTAAGGAGGGGAAATCAATCGACGAGGCTGTGAAGCTACATCGACTGAGATGGTTAGGTCATATGTTACGTATGCCTAGTCATTTTTTGTATTACAGCTTCATTCCACATCGTATTTTTGGTACAAGTATGAAATTTTTAGTATGTGATATCGGTAGCCCAAATTTTGCAGGCCGACCATAGATATCCGTCGGCAGGGGATCGAACCTCGGACCATGTGCATGATCGGCGAAAGCCCTAACCACTGTGCCACTGACGCATCGCCTTCCTCGACGGGCAATGTTAGCTGACACAGGGTCAGCCTGGAAAAGAGCTAGCGGTGGTCAAACCAAAACATGCCTTCATCAGTCAATGAAATCTACAGCAGTTAGTTTAAGCCAGCTGCCACGTAGGAAGATTCAGACTTCCTGGTTGGGGTCCTTGGGACGGTAAGAACCAATGGTTGGAAACAATTAATGAAATGGCTTAAAATCGTTCTCAATGGCTGGCGAAGATGGATCCACTCCTTGCGACTTATGATTTCCGATGAAACTGTTTTGTTCTTCATTATTACTCCTCCTTTGTCTCACACCTCTGTTTACTGTCTCTGATATGCATTTCTTATACTTCCTTCTCTTGCTTTGTGTACTACATGGAGGGAGTGTGGCGACTTGAACTTCTGCACATATGTGCAAAGTTCTATGTCGAAAAAAGACAGGCAGACTTGCTGATGAGTGCTAACAAGCACAAAACCTAGGTCGGTGGCACAGTGGTTAGGACTCTCACCGACCATGCACATGGTCCGGGGTTCGAGCCCACGCCGACGGACACACACCTGATATCTATGGTCGGCCTGCGGAATTTGGGCTACCGATATCACATGCTGAAAATTCCATACTTGTACCAAAAATACACTGTGGAATCAAGCTGCAATCAAAAATAAAAATAATAAAATTGCTTCTAACTACCTGATATCAACTTTATTTATTCTTTTGAAACGTGCACCAGTTTTCTATAGCACGACAGCGTTTTGCAATATATATATATATATATATATATATATATAGACTCAGAGTTTAAAACCGGGAAATTGGCAGAAGAGGTGTTTGAAGATTGAACTTCGAGTGAATATAGAGAAGACAGAGGATGAAGATAACTAATCAACAAAAAAGAAGCACTAATCACCATTAACGGTAGAAGTCTAAAGGAAGTTGTCTGTTTCACAGCATTGTTTCGACTACAGGCGGTGTCATGGATGAGGATGTGAAAGACATTCATTCAGGATCGGGAAACCACGAAAGGCGTTCATTGTTCTGAAATTAGTGTGGAAATCTTAAGCACTTAGCATAAGTCAAATTTTCATAACTACTTTTAAGTTAGCATAAGCGACATGTTACTTTGGCGACGGACCTATTAGAGAACCTATTACTTAATAAATTTTCGGAAGAAAGTGGAGATAATACACTGAGGAGACCGAGTGGAACACGAATGAGGGTGAAATCGAAGGAATCATGTGAAGAGGAAATGAAAGTCTATAATCACTTGTAGAGAGCTAGCTTATAAAAATTGAAAAGAACCGAATACAATAGAAATGTGCTGCTGAATTCCCATGTTTCATTTAAAACATAAGTTACGGATAATCATATTTTATTATTATTATTATTGTTCCCCTCGGTTCCGAGTGGAACATACGGCTTGGACAACGCATCTCCACCTTGTTCTGCTTGGTGCTATCCTCTTCAACTGGGTCTACGAATATCCATAATCTCTCATCTCCTTCTCGCACGATCTCCGTTTCACCCTAGGACAACCCACGCATCGTTTCCCTTTCGGATTCCACTCGAGGGCCTGTCACTCGATGTCATTTGACGGTCTCAATGTATGCCCGATATACCTTCATCTTATCTTGGTTGGTTTGTTGACAGATTTTCTTGTTGCCAATGGTTTCTACCCGGCTGGCCGGCCATTTGATCTTCAGTATGGAGCCAGTAAAGACAACTCTGTTGGTGAAAGTTTCTTGCTTGTTGGAAATCCTTTTCACGGTATCAAAAATAAAAGATCCGGATTTTCAACTCCAATGTGAAGTCAGTGCTACTATACGGATCAGAGACTTGGCGAGTCATAAAGAGCATCTCAAACAAACTTCAGACCTTTATCAACATCTGTCTTCGTCCAATACTCAAGATCAGATGGCCACAAAAGATCAGCAACAGAAATCTCTGGGAGCGAACCAATCAGGAACCGATTGTGAAACAAATAGGCAGGAAGAACTGGAGATGGATTGGCCATACGCTGAGGAAACCATCAAGTGACATCAGTAGACAAGCCATCGCTCGAGTGGAACCCGAAAGGGAGGCGGCGAGTTGGTCGTCCAAGGGTGACTTGGAGGAGATCATGTGAGGAGGAGATGAAAGCATGTGGACAGACCTGGAGCGGGGTGAAAAAGTTGTCAGAAAACCGAAGGCAATGGAGGTGCGCAGCTGAAGCCCTATGTTCCTCTAGGAACTAAAGGATACAATAATAATAATAATAATAATAGAAGAAGTGACTGACTGACTTCACATTTGTATTGAAAATCCGAATCTTGTCCTTTATGCTGGGGTTGAGTGCAGAAGATTTTCAAACTGGATACAGCTTGATCAAGGCATATCTTGTCTATCCGATTCTGGCTGGCTTTGGCATCTTCATCCGTCGCGCCTGCGATTGAAATCGAGCTTCCTAGATATAAGTGAATGAAGAAACCTTTGTCAAATCACTCCTGCTGATGACGATTGATGCTGCTTGTTGTTGCTATTCGTTGGCTATCTTCACCATCTCCGTCTTCTCTGTGTTCACATGGAGTCCTGTTTTCGCTGTTTCTTCAACCAGTTTGTTGGTGTCTGCCTGCAAGTCTTCCAGTTTGTGTGACACTATACATAAATCGTCCACGTGTGAAATTCAGATCTTCTACAGTGTTCTTATTTATCGGTTCAACGTATTCCTGTCTCCTCACTCCCATGCACAGTCTGATGCATAATCCAGTTCACTGCAATTAGAAATGTCATCGGTGACAACAGGCAGGCAGGCAGCCTTGTCTTATTCCTGTATTCTCTGTCTTCAAACGTATCACTGAATTTTCCGTTGTGGATCGCCTGACACATGGCATTGTCATATAGCTGTTGAATGAGGTAGTGATGGTAATATACAGACTAGGAAAAATGAAGTGACCAATAAGTATAAATTGAAAAGTTTCCAGTGCTAATAGAAGTTTATGGTGTAGGTTAATTCCTGATAACTGCTGTAAAGGCGTCAGTTATACGGACTATTTCTGAACATTGAATAAAATGCCATAGGTTTTACTTTGCTATAGGCAGTTATTGGTAATCTC